CATGTTGTTTTCCCCGGTTTTTGCTCTGATTCTTCTTGATTGCTTACCTGAACCTAGAAAATATGGAAATACCAAACCGACGCGTAAAATGCAATAAAAACGAATAAAATGTGACTAAACATATATAATGACTAACTAAAACTAATGGTAAAATATCATATAAAAACCACTGATCATGGATACTTGTTTCATGAAGCATAACTATCCACCAGGTTATCACTACAAGATCCGAAAATTTTCCATCAACCCCTTCCACTAATGTTGGCACTCCATCTAATTCTTCCCAAGACTCGCAGAAATCCGTAGCTACTATCCAAGATCAATACAATTAGATACTCCAGCTACTTTATCATCAATAATAATCCTCTATCTCACGTGTTGTGTCAAACGCCATTTTTTCTTATATCAACTTTGTCTCCATATTAATGGATGGTAAACCACTTTAATATTGAGTAATTGATATAGGTGTTACTCATCACATCACTCCTAATTTATGCAATTTCACAACTTACTCATATGTGTCTCCAATAAACATGAAGTTATCAAACGGTACCACTATTTTAACAAACATTGTTGGCACCATTTCTCTTTCTAAATCCTTAACTTTGACTCATGCTTATTACATTCCTACATTCAATGTTAACTTAATCATTTCCACTAAATTTATAAATTCTTATTTTCTCCAACTCACAATTACTAATACACAATGTCTAGCTTTGCTGAAAATATCCATGACACCGATTTTTTTAGCTAATAGACTTAGATATCTATGTGTTCTTACACCTCAAGCCAATCTCTACATACCTCTTTCCTTTTTAATTTTAATTTTGATTATACTGTTTGACATAGGTGATTAGGCCACCTCTCTCTTTTTGTTCACAAAACATTAATTTTTTTTCTTTTTCCCTATATTCAATACATTATTTATAAAGATTTGTCATACCAATTATGTCACTTAACTAAGCACAAACATTTACCCAATGATCATAATATTAACACTTCATATCATGTTTTTGATTTGTTACATGCTAATATTTGGGGTCCTTACTCCACCACCTCTATCACCAATCATAGATACTTATCTTAGTTGATGACCATACTAGGTTCGCTTGGATTATCTTTACGATAAATAAAAGCAAGACTCGTAAACACCTGACCAATTTTATTCCCTTTATTTTTACTCAATTTTCATCTAATTTAAAATGACTTCGCACTGACAATGGGCCAAAAGTTTTAATGACTGATTTCTACAATCCAAAGGTATTTTGTACCAAAGATCATGTGTTAAGTGCCTTCAACAAATACCCCTTAACAATCCAAAGGTATTTTAAATTACTGATTTCGATAATGTCCATCTTATCAATCGTTTACCTTCCCCCCTAATTAACAACAATACCCTTTGTTTTCTAAACATCTTGACTTACCATTTTAAAAATTTTTTGTTGTCTTGCTTATGCTTCTACACTTCATAATAATCATATAGAATTTGATACTTGGACTAAAAATTGTGTTTTCATTAGATATAAGGAAGAAACCAAAGGTTACCTTCTATATGATATCACCACTAACAATTTTTTAATTTTCAAAAATACTATCTTTTATGAATGTTGCTTTCCTTTTCTTACCATAAATTTCGTGTTTTCATAAATACTATCTTTTATGAATGTTGCTTTCCTTTTCTTACCACCCATGATCACCCGAGTAATGAGTATAGTCGAAAGCCTGACGAGCAGGTTATATACTTTCTAGACCTAAACCGTTGCATAGTAGAAAACTACACCAATTACTCTATTGTTAGATATGTAAAGATAATCTGTCTAACTTTGGCCAACATTGAGTTCTTATGTTTATCTTCATACTTTAGAACCAAACTTTTTATAGTAACGCACATGGTTTTAAATTGCAGTTTGCAACTGCGATCGCAATCTCAATGTTGTTAATGTAGTAGCTTCCACCATAGCATTGGAGTGCAACAACAAAGGGATTTAAAAATCATGTGTATGACCGTATCAGACAATTTCAATCATGTTTGTTCAGTTATTCTCACCCAAAATAAAAATTTTGTCTAAAGTTCAATCATTTCCTAACATTTTGATAAACCATATAATTAAATGTCTCACAATTGTGTACTTCAAACATCTCTCAATTGAGGTTGGTTGAAAATATACATGTTGATACTCTTTATGGTGGAGTATGATTGTCGGTGAAAACAATGAAAGCTTATGTATTATTTTCAATCAAGGTGGAGATTTTTAGGGTTTTGTTGAAAATATACACGTTGAAGAAGTCTCACATCGCTTAGTTTTTTGAAGGAAGAAGGAGTTCAAGGCTATATATAAAATTTAAGTTATTCATTCCAAGATGTACCAATCAAAAACACTTTAAGCTTGTATTTAACTTTCTTTGTTCTGTTATACTCTTATTTTAGAGTGTTATGAGATGTAGTTAAATATCAGTTTTGGAGGTTGTTAGTGTACTGGAGGTCTGGGTTTGTGAGGATATATTATGTGTTGTAACAATTTTCATATAGTGTTATTCTCTGGTTATCTATTGACAACGATCATGGTTTTTTCTCCGATTTTGGAGTTTCCGCGTTATGTTCTTGTGTTGTTATTATGTTCCTCTTTTTCTCTAAACCGTTGCATAGTAGAAAACTACACCAATTACTCTATTGTTAGATATGTAAAGATAATCTGTCTAACTTTGGCCAACATTGAGTTCTTATGTTTATCTTCATACTTTAGAACCAAACTTTTTATAGTAACGCACATGGTTTTAAATTGCAGTTTGTAACTGCGATCGCAATCTCAATGTTGTTAATGTAGTAGCTTCCACCATAGCATTGGAGTGCAACAACAAAGGGATTTAAAAATCATGTGTATGACCGTATCAGACAATTTCAATCATGTTTGTTCAGTTATTCTCACCCAAAATAAAATTTTTGTCTAAAGTTCAATCATTTCCTAACATTTTGATAAACCATATAATTAAATGTCTCACAATTGTGTACTTCAAACATATCTCAATTGAGGTTGGTTGAAAATATACATGTTGATACTCTTTATGGTGGAGTATGATTGTCGGTGAAAACAATGAAAGCTTATGTATTATTTTCAATCAAGGTGGAGATTTTTAGGGTTTTGTTGAAAATATACACGTTAAAGAAGTCTCACATCGCTTAGTTTTTTGAAGGAAGAAGGAGTTCAAGGCTATATATAAAATTTAAGTTATTCATTCCAAGATGTACCAATCAAAAACACTTTAAGCTTGTATTTAACTTTCTTTGTTATGTTATACTCTTATTTTAGAGTGTTATGAGATGTAGTTAAATATCAGTTTTGGAGGTTGTTAGTGTACTGGGGGTCTGGGTTTGTGAGGATATATTATGTGTTGTAACAATTTTCATATAGTGTTATTCTCTGGTTATCTATTGACAACGATCATGGTTTTTTCTCCGATTTTGGAGTTTCCGCGTTATGTTCTTGTGTTGTTATTATGTTCCTCTTTTTCTCTATGCTTTGTTTTTCCTAACAACTGGCATTAGAGCTTTTGGTTTCACATCAGAAAAGAAAGGTAGTGTTATGAAAGAGTTGTTGAGCTGCAGTCACAAATTCTGCTCTGCAGATTGGGCTAGAGAAAATTGATGGAAGAATTTTTTTTGACTTGTGGAATGTTCAAGTCAAAGATGTCTTGATAAAATCAAGATCGCACAAGGTTCAAGACTATGTCGATGGTTGTAGAGCTTCTTGCCAACAAGGAAGTTGCACCGTAAAGTTTCAATCTGGTTTTTGACATAGGGAAATTGTTGAAGTGGTTTAACTTCAAGAGAAGTATACTCTTCTTTAAGTGGAGTATGATAGTTTTTAAAACTATGATTGTTAGTGAAGACAATGAAAAATTCTTGGAGTGGTTTACCTTCAAGTGAAATTTATGTTCATGATAAAGTATATGATTGTCGGTGATGACAATGTGAAATTCTTCAAGTGGTTTATCTTCAAGTGAAATATATTTTCATGAGAGAATATGATAGTTTTTTAAAACTATACTTGTCGGTGAAGACAATTTGAAAATTCTTGGAGTGATGTAGCTTCAAGTGACTATACTCTTTATGATGGAGTATGATTGTCGATAAAGACAATGAAAATTTATGTATTATTTTCAATCAAGGTGGAGATTGTTGGGGTTGGTTGAAAATATACATGTCAATACTCTCTTTATGGTGGAGTATGATTGTTGGTGAAGACAATGAAAGCTTATGTATCATTTTCAATCAAGGTGGAGATTGTTAGGGTTGACTGAAAATATATATGTTGAAGAAGTATCACATCGCTTAGTTTTGTGAATGAAGAGGGAGTTCAAGCTATATTACAAGATACACATTTTTTGAAGTCGCACATCGCTTAGTTTTGTGAAGGAATAGAGAGTTCAAGGTTATATATAAGATTCAAGATGTAGTTAAATATTAGTTTTGGAGGGTGTGGATGTACTGGGGTCCTAGGTTTATGAGAGTATATTATATGTTGTAACAATGTTCACATAGTATTTTTTTTTCTTGTTATCTATCGACAACGGCCGTAATTTTTTCTCCAATTTTAAAATTTCAACGTTATATTCTTGTGTTATTATTATGTTCCTTTTTTTCTCTATACTTTTGATTTTCCAAACAGCAAACAACCACAAACAGACGCATTCACGGCCGCAATTTAAAACCACAGGAAAACACATCATATAAAATAAGATGCCGTAGAAAGAATATGGTCGAAGAGTATAAAAAATATAATACTTAAGCAAATGAGACTTACAGCATCCTCCACATCTAATCTAGCTACAAACATGAGTCACCATGTACATAAACCCAAATTATATTCTTGGATCACTTTTTTTTTCTTCTTTCTAACTAGCCTAAACCCAATACATTCCATGTTAGACTATATACTATTCTCTAAGAAAAAGAATAAACATAATCCATTCATACATTGTTTCAAAATTTACCCACATTACTAACATACCAATTCCTCTGAAAATTCCTCCACCAAAATGCTAAAGATATCAAACTCAAGCTCACCAGCCATATTCCTTATCTGCTCAACATTTTTCTTCCACCCTCCATCCTCTATAGAGAAATCCTCTTCTATCATCATATCAATTGTGTTTGACTCCACTTCTTTCCAAGATTCCACCCTCTTGCATATCCTAGTTATCACCATGTCCCTTTCTTCTAGAGAGATACATTCTCTCTCTTCTTCCAAAATGAGATCATGAATTAGTTTCTTGAACTCTTGTGGCATTTGCTGTCTGTCATGGACCATTGACAAATAGACAGCTTCAAAAACCATCTCTTTGAAGTCATTTTCTTTACATGATACTTCACTTTCCTCATCTTCAACATCATCATCCTCTTCCATATATGTTTCATCCACATCCTCTTCGTCTTCCATCATTCTCTTCTCGAGTTCTAACGGATCCAATCCTGCGAGTTTCTCAAATCGGCGAAGCTTGTACAATATCTGCTGCCTTGCTCCTATAAAATCAACCCAAAAAAACAACAAATATATTGGTTATTAGATGAATTCAGTAATCATTATTCTTATTCAACATCATAAAGACTCAAAGTACATAATGATTCAACATTGAGAAGTTATAGTTGCCAATGTTAAATACACTGATATACTATTAAACAAAACTCATACAAAGTACTAACTCATTGTTATGGTGTAAAAGTATGTGCAGAATAAAAATGTAATGTGATTGGTGAAATAGTACATATGTAAGATAACTTTTGATAAGGTATAGTACATGTAGTAGCATTATTGATGATACAAAGCATTCTCAATAACCAAATTAAAAGGACCACAAAATGTGGCCCAAGTAGGCAACTCAGTTGATGAGTTCAGGGACACCGAAGTTCAAGATTCAAACTTAAAAAGTCGGAAATAATGTAATTCACCGATAATAACATATAGTAGTCTTTGCCTATCAAAAAACAAAGGACCACAAAATTTATAAAATTGATAAGGTTTTGATTGCTCACATGTTATCTATCCAACATGCAACAGATGGATTGAAAGATCCCAATTGAGACAGATCTCCTAACAAGAATTTTTGTGGGTCATATTCTAATTAATAACAAAATCAACTATATGTAAACAAAAAGTAGGACTCTATTCCACATTGAATGTGAAATGCTATTTTCTTGTTGAGCATGTGTATCTTTTAATACATCAAAATTTAGTTTTTTTCTTTTATGATAAAAATTGTAGACAATTTAGGTGTTGGAGATTCAATAAAGGCAGAGAAAACCTCAAAAATCAAAGAGGGTGAACATAATACTATAGCATATTATCCATCAAAGAGATCAACACATCAGCAGCAGCATCTAGATTCAATCTCAGATGATTGAACATCTGAGTTGAATCCTTACCAATTGGACTTAGCGAGACATAAGTCGCCGCTAAATGCATTTTTGTAAGAGACAAACAAATTTATGTTGATAGAAAACCACCATACAAGCAATGGTACCGCGAAAAATAAATATAACCATAACATACTCTGTACAATGGCATAGCTGCTCTCCAAATCAAAATCACCACCATCTTCATCTTCATCATCGTCATTTATATGTCCTTCCTCATCGTCCTCGAACGGTGGGTCTAAAACACATACCGGACTACACTGTTCCTTATCTTCTTCCTCTTCTTCAACCAATTGAAATTGATTGATACTCTCAGCTTCTACATTACTTCCTTTGTCCTATAATCAATTCCACAAAATTTAATATTCAACTTTTGCCACAATTGAAGAAAAAAATCATGAGTAACTCTGCTAAATACTAATACTGTAATACATAGTATAAACTATTTCTGTAACTAAGGAAAAAAAATTGACTAAGCTATTTTTTCAATTTCTCACTGACACAAATGTTTATGACTTATTTTTTGTTGGGGATTTTTCTACCGTGATTCAGAAAGAAGAAAACAAATTATAAACAATTTTCTAGCCAATAGAACGTGTGGATCTAATCTAATAGAAAGGAAACAAAAGAGAAAACAGTAACATAATTTGTCTTCTTTAAAGCAAATAATTTACCAAACAAACATACAATCATAGAGAGAAAAGATTTGCATGGCAGAAACAAAATCGAAAAGTACAATTATAGACCGAAAAAAATTAAATTAAAACCATTAAAATTCCAAAATTAAAAAAAAAATTATAATCATGAAAACTACAAACCTCTGTTATGCGACTCGGCGACGCTAACTCCGGCGTGTGGCTGCCGGAGCAAGAACTTGTTTGAAGAACAAAACGAAAAGGACTTTCGGAGAAAGAACTGTGATAACAAGTGCATCCTTCGTGAATGAACCTTTCAGAGTAACCGCTACAAGAAGTTTCCGTTTCCAATGGTTTACCTTTGTTTATCGTATGAGATTCAAATTTTTTGCTATTCAATATATCCTTGACAGAAACATTTTGACTCTCGAGTTCTCGCTTCCGGTTCTGGTTTCTTAGCTTAATTCTTTTGAATAAAGATCCAAATAGACCGAAGCCTTTGGTTTTTGTTTTGTGATTCGAAGATGAAGAATGTTTGTGGATCCTGAGAGCAGCTTCTAGAAGAAGAGTTGCCGTTCGTGAAGATTTGCAGGGACTTTTAACCGGAGATGTTAGTTCGAAGAGCGGCGATTTTCTGAAGTCCGGTGTTTCTGGGAATGAGAAGAAACAGGAAGCGTTGTTTTTACAGAGATTTATGTTGAAATTGAAAGTTGAGTTAGAGTTTGGAATTTTACAGATGGTAGTGATTTTCAATTGGTTACGTCTATCGGAAATGTAGTTTTTGAGAAGGAATGGTTCTTGATCTTCCTTTAGTAGTTGGTGTAAGTACTTTTGAGACATGATTACATATAAGAAGTTGTCAATGGAAGAAAAAGAGTACTATAGTAGTATAGTACTTTTGGAGTTTGAAGTTTGAAGTTTGAAGTTTGAAGTTTGAATTTGGAGTTGAAGAACTATTGCTATTTTGTTTATTGGTGTGATATTGAATTTGTTGATGTGATTCAAATCTGAGAGTTTTTTGGGTTAGGAAACCAAGGGGAGTTGAGAAAGTGAAGTGGTGTAGATAGAGTAGAATAGAGTCTACATAAATGGATTTTTATTATTGGAAAATAATGAGATGAGAGATGAATAATTAGAGAGGGAATATAATTGAATAAAATTTTGCAGGAAATGTAGGTGAAATGAAATGTGTTGCTTTCTTAGGCTAGGAGGAGGTTTTCTGTTCTGTTTCTGTCGTGTAGTTTCTACGTTTGTACTGGTATTTGAATAGTATTAATACAGAGGTTAATACGTACAATGATACTAATGGACCGTATGCACAAGACAGTGTGGTTAGTGGTTAGAAAGGTAGTGTTGTTAGGATGTGCTTGGTGGGAAATAGGATGATGAGTGCATACCGTGATGCAATTTTTGTCCCAACAGTCTGAACCAAACGCTACGGTTCGTCTGAGCCATTTCATTTCTTTCCCGATATATATTCATTACAAATTTGCAACTGCTTCCTGTTTATTTCATCATGTAATTGGTTGCAATGATATAGTAATTAGTTAGATAGAGAATTTTTTTTGTTGAATGATTGAACTCATTTTATTAAACAACTTCAATTCTATTTGTTGGATGATACTATCTTAAGAGATATGTTGCATTTATGTTTGTTTTTATTAAAATATCCATGTGTTTTTGCTTATAGTCATAATGGTATGTCAATGAAACTAATAGAATATTTAAAAGTAATTTAGAATAACTTTTAGAAACCAATCACATTATGAATTTTGATATGTGAAGATAAAAAAATAATGCCAATAAAAATAAATATCTTTTAATAAAAATAACTTTTTATGTAATAAGACATCAATTTATTTTGGCAAAAGAAGATAAAAGAAAGGTAATAAACACATACTACTAAAAATTCCGTGTTTAGTAACCAAGTTAAAAATTAAAAAATCGTGAAAGTCTAACTTATAAGAACCTTACAGTAAAGTTTTGCCACATTCAAGAAATGAAACAATAGTCTTATGTTTGAGATGTTTAAGCATGACCACTAGACTATTTCGTTTTAAATATACATTATCTTTTAAAATTGTATATATTATAAACGAAATAAATTTTTTAATTTTTTTAAATATTATTTAATAAATTTATTAAATTAATTATTATTAAAATTACATTTTTTTTAAATTGATAATTTTTTATGAGCGAATATTTATATAAATATATCTTTTATTGTTTAAAATGATAAAAAATATGGAAATTTCACTAAAAAATAGAAGTTGAAGAGTAATTAAAATATTTTTAAAAAAAGAAAAAAATTGGAGAAACTAATTTAATAAAGACGAACTTAATTGGCTGATGCAGAACACAAAAGGAAAAGGAGCAAGGGCGACTGTCATTAAAATGGTGGCATCCGAAACTATATATGAACTTTGGATGATTAGGAATAAAAATTTTTTTGATATGAATGAAGATACAACCATAATAGGAAAGAAAGTTATAGATACATTGGTATATAGAGGATGAAATACCAAGAAAATTAGAAAATACATAGCTATTCTTATGTTAGAGAGAGGATAATTATCTTTAGTTTTTCTTGGCATTATTAGTCCTATTTAGTTTGTGTTAGTGGCTGGATTCGGTTGAGGATCGCTTGTACTTACTGTTATTTTTTTGAAGTAATTATAAAGTTTTTTTTACTCAAAATAAAACAAAACAAAAATTAGTGACCGAAATTTTATAGTCAATCGCTTTTTATAAATTAATTTTTATAAAAACGTTTATTTGAGACCGAAAATTACGGTCACAAAATTCGAGTCACTAATTTGATAATTAATTTTATTAAGTGACTGATTTGGTGACCTTTAACATTTTATTAATATGATCACCAATTTCGATGGTTAATTTGATGGCTATAGTGACCGAAAATTTTTAGTCATTAAAAGCGAACTTTTTAGTAGTGACAATAATTTGTTTATCCAATTCATTTAAACGATCTACTATAAGGGATGACAGCTTTATGATTCACTATATTTTTAAGAATTATTACAAAAATTTACACACAAGTTACAAAAGAAAGTAGTCGCTTAAACTCCCAAAAACAAACTTTATTTTCTACTCAAATATTTTTCAATCTCTCAAGCCATATATATATATATATATATATATATATATATATATATATATATATATATATATATATATATATATATATATATATATATATATATATATATATATATATATATATATATATATATATATCACAACACAATGATGCATGTCCATATGAATCAATGCAACAACAATAAAAATTCTTCAGGTCTCACTTATGACCATAAACAACATGCATTAACACACAATAGTAATACTCCCTTCTAAATTACTATTCACCAATTATAAAAATAAAGCACACTACAATACATAATTAATCATCATATAATCATGCATTTCAATAACAATAATAATCACGTTCTCATCATGTAACAATACAAAATAATACTATATATATATATATATATATATATATATATATATATATATATATATATCTCATACTATAGCTACACATAGACGACAACATGTAAGCAAGGCAATTACCATTAAACAACAGTAATTCCAACACAATTAAATAGTCAAATTCATAATAATTATTTGACAATACCAACACGGCCAAATAATAGCCATTCATCACTCAAACTGCAAAACCATGTCAAAAACCCGAACCAATAGCTCTAAATACACAAACAGGGACGGGGACACCTCTTTTAATAACATGAGGGTAACCTGTCATCATTGTGACGCACCCCATCTATCATCATACTAATGATCGACTTTTGAAACCAAGTCTGGAGACCATGACGGTCTCCCCGTCATAGTACTGGCGCCTCTCAGTGTCTTAAGGTTCATGACGGGTAACCTGTCATCTGGATGACGCCCGCCACCCGGCACCAGACGGCAGAAACATGGTTTCATCCATGAGAGTCCGCTTGAACTCTAGTTTTTGTCCTGCAATCATCCCAACACATCCAGAAAATTACACCACACTGAATAACATCATCAAAACATGCTAAATTAAAATTTTATATAATTCATTCATAAATCTCATGAATTTCATATTATGTTCAAACCTCCAATATTTCCAACAATGGCATAAATCATATACACCTAAACAGAATCATATGCACATGAATTTTGCCACGAAAACCAGATAATATCACATCTTATTATGAATTTTTAGATCATCATACAACAACATCAAATCATGATAAAGTTCACATAATCCCTAAAAAGAGTAAGGGTCTCTCTTCTCCATCATTTCTTGCAAAACACCCATATAAGCCTTTTCTCTCCCTTACCTCATATTTCTAGCCAAAATTCAAAATTGGTGATGGCTTGTTCTTTTCTTTTCAAGCCCTAGCCTCCCTTTATTTTCCTATAGCTCTATTTCAAGTACTAAATATTCAAAAGCTCTACTAACGTCTATTTAACTCTAAAACCTAATTTAATCTCTTGATAGTTACACTAAGGTCCAACACTTTTTAAAATGTTTACAATTTTTCTTATTTCCTCTTAGTTTCTACTTTTCACCCAAAAACCTCTTTTCTTATTTACTTTAATTAATTAATATAAAAAATTATTAATTCTAATTATTCTCAATTAATTTAATTATTCTACCCACCAAAGCTCTCACTACACCCTCCCCCATATACACATATAACTCATAATATATATAACTAAAAGCGCACCACATATCAATTAATCAAATAAAATATGAAATTTTTGATTAAATAAATAAATTAAATTTCGGGGAATTACAAATCTCCCTCACTTAGAAAATTTTTGCTCTTCAAAATTACCTGAAGATAACAGAGTCGGATACGATTCACTCATCTAACTCTCTAGCTCCCACATCATACTTCCACCAGCAGATCCTCTCCACACCATATTCACCAGCACAATATCTTTTCCTTTCAAGTGCTTCACCTCACGATCCTCTACTCTCATGAGAGATGCCTCAACAGTTAAGTTCTCTCTAACTTGCACATCGTCCACTTGAATCACATGAGATGGATCAGTAATAAACTTCCTTAAATGAGACACACGAAAGGCATCATGAACATTCAAAAGAAACAATGGTAGTGCAACTTTGTAGGATACTTCTCCTATTCGCTTCATAATTTGATAAGGACTAATAAAACACGACGTGAGCTTTCGAGACTTCAAAGCTTGACCAACACATCCTATCGGAGTAACTATCAAAAACACATGATCTCCCTTCTAGAACTGAAGTGTTTTTCTCCTCTTATCATAGTAACTTTTCTGGTGATTCTGCGAAGCTTTCATCTTCTCTTGGATCATCTTGATCTTCTAGGTAGTATGTTGAACAATCTCGGGTCCAAGCATAACACTTTCACTAGAATCATACATACACAAGGATTCCTACACCTTTTACCATACAAAGCCTCATAGAATAGAAATTGTTTTTTGTAGGTGAACTCAACCAATGGTAAGTAATTGTCCTAGATACCCTCTTGTTCAAAAACACAAGCTCTCAAAAAATCCTCCAAAGTCTGGATAGTCCTCTCAGTCTGAATGTCTGTCTGGAAATGATAAGCATAACTTAAATTTATCTTAGTACCCTTGTTTTCCTGTAAACTCTGCCAAAATCTCAATGTGAATCTCAGATTATTATCAGAAATGATACTTGAAGGTATACCATGCAAGCTAACAACTTACTCAATATAAAACTTGTCTAACTTTTGCAAAGGATAACTGATCTTAAGCAGAATGAAATGAGTTGATTTAGTCAGTCTATCAATGATAACCAAAATGGAGTTACATTCTTT